GTTCAAATAATACATAATATATGTTTTTTTTATTTAATTCTTAAGAGTATTATTCATCACTCCTATATTCTGATTTTTGTTAAATCTCATATTTAGCAATTCCATAGTTTCTTTCATTGCTTTCTCTTTACCTTGATTAATGAGTGAGTCTTTAGTCTGTTCATCTATATTATTTTTAGATTTTGTTCTAATTTGTTCAGTCATTGCTTGAAACTTTTCAAGTTCTGAAAGTATCATATTAAATTCTGCATCATCAATATATTGATCTGATGTAGCTTTAGAAATAAGACTACTTATTGTATTTAGTTTTGCATCAGCTAGTACTTTAATCTTTTCATGCTTTTCTGCTTTTATTGTTAATTTTTTAATAGCTTGTGATCCTATTAGTGATAATACACCCATACCTAATGCTGCACCTTCACATGCAATAGCTACTGGTGTACCAACTATTGTTGTTAAAAAACCAATACCAACAGCTCCAAGTGTCATAGTGCTTGCTAGTAATGTATTATCAACTGCTGAAATGATTCTTACAGCTCTATGATATTTTTTACTTAAAATCTCTCTTCTTTTCCTTTCACATTCTATTTTATCTTGAATTTCACTAATCTTTTGTAATCTAAAGTTATGATCTATAGATTGCGGTGGTGCAGATGGATTTTCTGAAAACTGGTTTAGATCTGGATAAAGCTGCTTACATTCATTATTATATCCATTATTACATAGCATTTCTTTTTTCTATAAAGAAAAATTTGTTTTAAATCACTTTTGTGATCAATGCTTCACTAAATCACTTTTTACCAAAATCAAATATAGTTTTATCTTCATCAATAGTTTCTTTAATTACTTCTCCTATACTTGATAATAAAGATTTTACAGATTCTTTATCACTTTTCTGTTTAGTTCCTGAGTCATTATGTGGTCTAACTTGTTCTTCTTTAACAGGTTCTAAAGCATCTCTATGTGATATATAATTTGCATTTAAAACACCATTATAAGTTGATATACAACATAACAAATCTCCTTTTTTTATGTTTATATCTTTTTTATCGTAATTATATAAAGTTATTTTAATATCATCAGTAGACTCTATTACAACAGAATTTAGTAAATTTAGTGATGGTTTATAATTTTCTGCAAGTGAAATCATTACATGTCCTTTATCTATTTCAACTCCACACATTAAAGAAATGTTTTCATATGAATTTGATTTTACTGTAAAATCTTCTTGTGCGAATACTTTAATATGTCTATCATTTATTGCTCTATGTTCTAAATCTGAATTAATATTAAAAGTTATTCTATATTGTTCATGCTTTTCATAATATAAAAACATTCTACTATTATACATTTTATAAATGTAAAGATTTTTTTTAAATCACTCTGTAATCCTCATATCTGTTTTGTTTTTAAAGTTCTAGCAATATAATTTAAAATGCTTTCACCTTGATGTAAAAAATTACACTTTTTATTATCATTAATATTTTTATATAATAATATTTTTTCTCCTTTTTTATTTTTCTTTAATTTACTCTCTACTAATTTACATGGAGTATAATGACAAATTTCTACATTTTCTTCAATTTCTTTAAAAGAATGAGCAAATTTGCAATTTATTTTTTTACATTCTTTTTTATCAAGAATATATTTACATAATTTAGTTTTAGCTTTTCTTAATTTTAATAATTCTGACTTTTTAGGATGAAACAATCTACACTTTTTATTCTTACATTTAGGGTATTCAGAACATAGAGATAAATGTCTATATTGACATGAAGATTTAGTGCATATGAGTCTTTCCTTTACAGTATTACAATAAGGAATATCATGATTGTATTTACATCTATTTTCAAAATGACAATAATTATCTTTTAAAATATTTTTACAGAAAATGGGTAGTTTCTCTACAAAATGAATTGTTGAAGGTTTTCCATCTTCAGTAAAATTAATATCTACATTAAATGGTTTTTCAAAACTAAATTTTCTGTTTTTGTAATGTTTTTTTGTTAAGAAACTATCTATAGCAGGAAAATCATCATTAATAACATTATAAGTTGGAATATAATTAATCCATTTCAGCTTATCTTTATGCAGTTCCATGATTTGAACTGTTTTTAAAGGAATTAGAACTATAGGTTTTTCTTTAACTTCATCTTCATCATCAGATGTAAAATAAGTAGCTTCATCAGATGTATAATAAGTGTCATCTTCAGAATCTGATTCTTCAAATTCAAATTTTAATATTTCTTCAAAAAGTTTAAATTCTTTTTGAAATTCAGATATTTCATTAATCTCATCATCATTCATTTTTATTTTTATTATTTGTAAAAATATTTTAAATCAAAAAAAAAATTAAAAATGAGTTAAATATTTTCTTTTATATATAAAAAGAATGGAAAACGAAATGCAAAATTCATTTTTAAGATCAATAGAACAAAGATTAAGATTAATAGAAGAAAAATTAAATATTATTAATATTCATGATATTGAAATGACTGAAGATTCTGAAGTTACTACAGTTACTACAGTTACTACTGAAGTTACTGAAATTACAGAAACTACTGAATATAGTGATGATGAAGAAGATGAAGATAATGAAGATGATGAAGAAGATGAAGATAATGAAGATGATGAAGATAATGATGATATTAAAAAAATATTAGGGTATAAAGGAATAAATGATGCAATTGATAAAGCTGCAGAAAATGGTAACTTTGAACAAGTAAAATACTTGCATGAATTAGGGTATAAAGGAACAAGTTATGCAATGGATAAAGCTGCAGAAAATAGACACTTTGAAGTAGTAAAATATTTACATGAATTAGGGTATAATTGTGACAAACGCACAATTAATTCTACTGTAGAAAATGGACACTTTGAAATGTTAAAATATTTACATGAATTAGGGTATAAAGGTGATAAATATTCGACATTTGATTTAGCTGTTAAAAGTGGACACCTTGAAGTAATTAAATATTTACATGAATTAGGGTATGAAAATAAATATTTAGCATTTAATTTAGCTGTTGAAAGTGGAAATCTTGAAGTAATTAAATATTTACATGAATTTGGATATAAAGGTGATGAATGGGTAACTGATTATGCTGTTAAACATAGAAATATTGAAATTTTTAAATATTTACATGAATTAGGGTATAAATGTACAACATGGACAATTTATTGTGTTGCTAAAAATGGTCACCTTGAAGTAATTAAATATTTACATGAATTAGGATATAAAGGTAATGAAAATTCAATTTTTGCTGCTGTTGAAAGTGGAAATCTTGAACTTATTAAATATTTACATGAATTAGGATATAAAGATGATGAATGTGCATTTAATTGTGCAGTAAATAAACAGATAAGATCACCATCAGATAGTAACCTTGAAATTATTAAATATTTACATGAATTAGGGTATAAAGGTACAGAATCGTTTTTTAATTCAGCTGTTAAAAATGGATATATTTAAACTTTTGATACATGTAGTTACTATAAATTCTAGTAGTGATAAAGTTAAGCACTGCTACTACGCATAAGCGCTACTATGCATAAATCCCAGCGCATGCGTATTAAAAAATAAAAAAATTTTGAAAATGAATTAAATAATTTTCTTGTGTATATAAAAAAGAATGGAATTAGAAAAAAAATAAATAAAAATAATGTTATTAAAATATTAAAAGCAATTATTCGCGCTATAGAAAATGGTAACCTTGAACAAGTAAAATATTTGCATAAATTAAAGTATTATTATGAAGAATTAGCAATTAATTATGCTACTGAAAATTATGACTTTGAATTAGAGCAACAATTATATAAATTTAAGTATAAATATGAAAAATGTGCAATTAGTTCTGCTGCTATAAACGGTCACTTTGAAGTAGTAAAATATTTACTTGAAATTGGATATAAAGTTGATAAATTAGCAATTAGTTATGCTGCTATAAATAACCACTTTGAAATATTAAAATATTTACATGAATTAGGGTATGAATGTTATGATTGGACAATTGATTGTGTTGCTAAAAATGGTCACCTTGAAATATTAAAATATTTACATGAATTAGGATATAAAGGTACAGAAGATGCAATAGATAAAGCTGCTCGAAATGGTCACCTTGAAATGTTAAAATATTTACATGAATTAGGGTATAAAGGAACAAAAGATGCAATAGATAAAGCTGCTGAAAATGGTTATCTTGAAATATTAAAATATTTGTATGAATTTGGGTATAAATGTGACAAATGTGTATTTTATTCTGCTGCAGAAAATGGTCACCTTGAAATGTTAAAATATTTATATGAATTAGGGTATAAATGTGACAAATGGACAATTTATATTGCAAAAGAAAATGGTCACCTTGAAATTATTAATTATTTACATGAATTAGGGCATAAATAAGAAGCAAGAAAAAAAATTGAAAATAAATTTCTTTACATAATTTATAAAAAATGGATTGTACAAGTAAAGATATTAAATTAGGAAGTTATAAAAGAAGATTAAGATTAGCTCGTTATTTGCAAAATAAAATAAAATTACATGCTGAAAAGTTAGAAAAGGAAAGATTAGAAGAAGAAAAGTTAAAAACACCAGATCAAATTTATTATTAAGAAAATCACGTGACCTGTGACGTCATGCAAGAATTTTTCGTAATATTTCATAACAAGAAATAAAAATTAACACTTATTTTAAAAAATCAATTTTTTTTAAAATAAAAAAATATTTCTTGTTGAAATAATTTATACACAATATGGTTCAATGTTAACCCAATATTAATATTAATTTATGGTTGAAAATTTGGTTGAAAATGAAAATAAGCTAGAACCGGCAATCTCTTACTACTCTTATGCAATACTAAAAATATAAACAGCTTTTTATGTTAAATTTTTTTTTTTTTAAATTTTTTTTTGGGGGGGCAGCTGTCACACTGTAACATGCATACATTTATACATAGATATTTTACATCCATACATTCAATTTAGTTTTTCTTCAAATTTAGATTGTTGTTTTTCGAAAATATATGATCCATTGGATGCTTTTATAATAAAATATTTTACTGGATTGGAAAATTTCTATTTCAGTTTAGCTGATGGTAATGCTAGCTTTAGTTGCAGCTATAATAAATCTAAAATTTATTATGCTAACTGTGTGATTATGGATTCATATGAATCTCAATATACACCAGAAATCATTTCAAACATAGCTATGTGGGTTTATTATGATGTTTATAACTGCCCTGCAGAAAATGACTTTTCTCAGTATCTTTTGGATTTAAACAAGGTTAGACAACACTTTTTATAAACTCAATTAATATTATTGTAATTGTTTGGTAATATCTAGTTAGTGTGTGTAAAATTGTAAAAATAAATTAACTTAAATGCCCTAGTATATTTTTATTAGATAATTTTTGTTATTATTATTATAGTTAATATTATTGTTATATATTACTATTATTATTATTATTATTATTATTATTATTATTATTATTATTATTATTATTATTATTATTATTATTATTATTATTATTATTATTATTGTTATTATTATTATTATTATTATTATTATTATTATTGTTATTATATATTTACTCCAGGGCAGAGGTCAATTACAAATATGTTAATTCTAGATTTCCAAGTACAATTGTAATACAAGTAACTGCAATTGACATTTTCCAAATACAAATACAAATATTTGTACTTATAGTTAAAAAAAATATAAAGAGTTTTTTTTCAAATAAAACTGATAAAATGGTCTACTAAATAGAAAATAAAATAAATTTTCCAATACATATCTTTTATAAACATTTTTTAAAACTATTTTAGTGTTAAAAATATAAAATAAAGTTTCTTGGTTTTTCTCGAAAAAAAAAAGTTTATTAAATTGCAAATACATTAGTAAATATATGCAAAGCATAAATACAGTTATGCCAAATTCGCTTCTTTTACGAAATATTTTTACAAAGGTTTATGCAAAGGTGATGACATTATTTCCCAATACTTAGAAAATAAAATAAATTGTTGTTTATTATTAAATATATTATTTAAGATTTTAAACATAGCAAGATTTTAATGTGGAAAAAAGTATTAAAATCTCATTTAAATAAACATTGAATAAAATTAATAAGCCTAAATTGTTTCATTGAATTTTTGGTAAATTAGTCTTCATCCATGGATTTACTGTATTCTTCATCTGAACCTGATGTGCTGTCATTGTTGGTACTATTATCACTGTTACTGAATCCTTGATATTGTTTATCTGAACCCGATGATTCTGAAGAACCTTTTTCGCTTTTAACTGGTTAGCTGCTTTTTAACATACTTTTCTTTCAACATCTTCTTGCTTTGGGTTTATTATCCCCTCAAGTTTAATGTTGATGCATTTTTTATTCTTTTTCTTTTTTTCTTGCCAGCAATTATATATCCATATTAAAAAGATCAAACCGTCTTCTTTGATAATAAATTTTTATGCAGAGCTACTGTACGCTTCGTCAGCTTCTTCTGCAGTCAGTGCAGTCAACTGTGTTATTGTCTGGACAATTTAAGGATCCACGTCAAAAGCAATATCTTTTTCAAAATATCTTTTTCAAAAAAAAGCGTTAAAGAGCTCACTGCCTCGAGTACATCCAGGTACGCTCCGGTTTCGCATAGAAAGGCATAAAATGTTAATTTCCTTACAAGCCCCTATATTTTGGCTCTTGTTTGGTTACCATACCTTTTGTTAGTTAGTGCATTTAGTAAGGCAAATAGATAAGATGGCTGGTTATGCATTGAACTAGTATAACCTTTAACATAATCCAATGCAAATCGGGTTCCTTAAATTTTATTTAGAGTGTAATACTCAATAGATAACACAGCAGCACCATGTTTACATGACTCCTTCAGTTTACCAGCCTTTTTTAAAAGATAAAATCAAGTCGTATAAAAATTGTTGCAATTCGTAAAGTCTTTAAACTACTTTATAGCGTCTTTTATAGCAAGCTCTAATCTGCGATTAACACAGTGTATGTTAATTAACCATGATCTTGTTTTTTTTAATTGATGCACCATTATAGATACTCAGAATAACATTCGCTCCATCAGCTGTTGCTGATACCAACTTTGTAAAATAATTTGTAATGGATAATGGGATGTTGCATATAGCTACAACGTTTTCAATGAAAACACTATCCAATGCAAATCTGCCATATTATATTATATTACCAAAATCTGCCATATTACACAATGCAACAAAAAAATAACACTGGATACCAACATTTTCAACTCGAAC